AAAATGGGGATGAAAATAGAACCTACCCATAAGATAGGGTGAAATGAGGTTGAAGTGGTATAGACTTTAACAGTTACAGCCCTCAAATGCTAGGTGCATAACCTATTCCAAGCCGTAAGTGATAATGAAAACCTCATGATAACACTGACAAATGCCAAAGCAAAATAAGCAGCTAGAATTTGGGGTGTCTGTCACTGAGCCCTGTCCAGCGTATTGGTAATTTTGTTTGTTTGTTAGTCATTCTTAAACCCACCTTTGAGAAGGTGGTGCTTGAGTTCCTTGAGGGACTTTTCATTGTCCTGAGATTTGTTTCTTCCCCTTGTCGCAAATGCCATCTTTTCTACAAAGCTTAAAAATTTTCTCTTCAACCTAAGCAATAGAAGAAAAGCCACTGTGCTCCTACACCTCGGGTCACACCAGCTTCTTGAGACAGGCTGAGCATGGGTGAGGTTGGACTGGGTCCCCCGGCAACCGTGTGCTTCCGCCAGCTGCTGGGAGTCCAAGCCTGTGCCTTTTCATGTTGACTGCTTGGCTCAAGACCTTGGCAGCAGTCACCACTAGAACTGGCAGGCAGCTCTGAGAACATAGAAAGGGGGCAAGGTGGCGCCAAGGATGAAAGTTGTGCCTGTGCTGCACAGGATGCCTGTGGCGTGGGCTGCTCTGCTCTGAGCCACGGTGAATCCTTTCTGTCGTCTTCCTGTGGCCTCTGTTCCTTTGAACTCTTACTGTTGCAGATAACACCACAGAGTCCCTAAAACTTTTAGTTTTGGGAAAGCCTCTGGGACATCCAAAAACAAGGTTTAACACACTGAAATAGCCTTGTACACGGGCTTTGATCTGCCTGGGTACAACCCAGCTCAAGGTCTGCTCAGGCCTCTGCTTCCAGGTTGCTGTTTAAAACTGCATCCCATTGATGTCACATTTCCCCAGCCGCTCCTGGATGTCTTGGTCATTCTCTATAGACCACAGCAGTCAATGCCTGCCTGCTCAGCAGGGTGACAGAAATATATTTGGCTTCCAGCAGAGCTCCTCAGGGGAGTCAGCACAGTGTCATGCTTTGTGCCTGACAGATCCTACGAACAGCACCAGTCAGCTGGGGCCATTGGAGCCCCAAGGGCATGGTGCTGAGCCTGGAGTAGGAGCAAAAGCCTTGGCCCAGAGGAGGGGCTCTGGTCTCCAGGTCATTTTGTTGACACTGTTGTGGCTGCCAGTGAGTCTGACTAGTAACAAGTCACTTTCCTGCATGAATGTTCAATTTCTACCTGTAAAGACAGTGGGATGGATCAAGTGATTCCAAAGAGACTTTGGAGTCTAAATTCTGAGTATGTAAATCAAGGCCCACAGGAAATGACTCTATGGGAAGAGGAAAAATAGGCCCACAGATCACTGTCATTGCAGTGACATTGTACCAGCTCTTCCCCACCGACGTAGACAAGGGTGTGCATTTCATCGGATGCTCACCAGCACTGAGTCTTATGGGGTTTTTAAGATGTTTGCTAATATGCTGTGCCTTTAATTGGTATTACTTGGATAATGAAATTGAAGTGTATATTTTGAGAGAAAGTATCAGGAAACAAATGAAAAGCCTAAGCAAGCTTTATGGTGCAACTGGGAATTGTGGTACACACCTCTAATCCCATCACACAGGAAGCTGACGCAGGGGATCCTCGGACTGTGAGTCCGAGGCCAGCCTAGGCTTCTAAAGTGAGTTCAAGGTCAGCCTGAATTACTTCGTGAGACCCTGTCTCAAAAAAAAAAAGAAAGAAAACTTTATAGTGCAGTGATTCTTCCTGATTCTAGTTCCTCCTGTTCCTGGGACCCAGAGAATGAAGGATTTGCCAAGGCCACAGAGGAGGGGGTACCTTGTACTTCTAATGGTTTCACATTTGTAGCCTGCTTTGAAAGTAAGTGACCGTTACGGTTCTGTCAGGCAAGTTACTGTATAGGAAATTCTAGCTTCTATTACCATACATTTGAAATAAACACCTACTCTTTATTTTTTTCTCTTTTAGGGGGAGAGGGAAGTACCAGGAATTGAACTCAGGACCTTGCACTTGTTAGGCAGGCACTTGTGTTGTTGAGCTACATCCCTGGCCCAACATCTGCTCTTTAAACAATTTTATAATCAAAGTTTTTCCTGGAAATTTCTGTTGTGCTAAAATTAATGGAATTTGCTGTGCTTTTATATATATAAATGAAACCTCCAAAAAGAATCCAGGCACTTACTTCTTGCAGTGGTCACAATTTGACACCCTTATGTGTGAATTGTCCAGCGGTGATGTCCTGCCTCCTTGCGACACACCTGGGCCCTCTCTTACCTCTGCTCACCTAGAGCCTGGAGGCTTCTCTCCCTGCCCAGGCCTGGCAAAGGCATCACCTGACAGGTGGAATTCAACCCTGATCCCATCTCCAAAAGCCGGCAGCACAGCTCCTGCCTGGCCTGCCTGTTTTACTGGTCTGCATAACATTTTGTAAGCCGTTGTGTTAACGTTGGTCCCAGGGACAGTGCCCGCCAAATGTCAGACCAGCACTCAAATTTGGGCCTTTGATGATCTAGGAACCATGTGTGTCCCAGAGCCCTGCCCTCCTGCCTGGTATCTCCCCTTTCTTGAGTCTTCCTAGGATTCCTGGCCTAGCCTCGGCCAGGGCATGGGGTATCAACATCAAACCAGACACTGGGCATGCAACCTGGTCTTGGAGTCCAGCCACGCCACTGACTGACTTCAAACTAGAGAGCTTAGAGTGCCTGTGAGGCTGCACGTGTCTGGGTTTGCTAAATCCACACACTCCAGATACACAATGAATGCTGCAGTTTCAGAGTATGAAAGATGCTTATGACAGCTCTTACCAGTGTCCTTGCACCTTTGTGGAATATTATAAACACTCCTAAATATAAATGTCCCCCCCTTCCATGGTATTTTAAGCTGTTAGGTATACTAAATTGCGTGTGTGTTTGGGGCAGGGGGACTGGGGACCGAACTCAGAGGGTTTTTATGCTAAGCTGCATTCCCAGCCCTTTTCTATTTTGGGACAGTCTCACTAAGTCATTGACTTTGCCCATGCTGGGCTTGAACTGTGATTCTCCTACTTCAGCCTCCCAGAATACTGGCATTACAGGCGCACGTCACTGTGTCCAGCGTGCACTAAGATTTTGATTGAGAAAGATTTTAAAAAATTAAACTCCATATGAACACATTTTAAAATGACAATATGTATTCACCTTTTCTCTAGAGATCAGGGGAGCAGGCTCCTGTGGTTAGAGAGGTCAGGAGACCATGAAGAAGGGCAGTTTGGAGAATTCTTTTCCCTCATGATGAATGCTCTGAATGTCCCTCATGCTACTCTCTCTGAGAAAGCCACTAACTCAAGGCCAAGTTTAAACATACCCAGAGTACCCAGACATGGTGGTGCACACCTACAATGCCAGTACTCAGGAGTCTGAAGCAGGAGGATGGCTGCAAGTTCCCAACTGGCCTGGGCTACACAATGGGTTCCAAGCCAGCCTTGTCTCAAAGGTGAGACCCGATATCAAAAAACAAAAAAATCTAGAACACATGCACTGTGGGACCCAAATATAGTCCTAACTACCTGGGAAGCTGAGGTGGGCCATTGGAGCCCAGGAAAGCAGCCTGGGCACCATCTAAAAATAAATAAGTTGAGGATAATGCAAATTCAGGAATTCAACTGACTGCATTCTAGTAGTACTCAAACATTTATGTAACTCTAGACAAGTGGTTTTGTCTCCCTAATGCCTCAGTTTTCCCACTATAAAATGAGGAATGTTGTCACTCATTTGAGAGTGTTCAATGAAACAGTAGTGCATGGAGGAGGCTTTGTGCTTTCCCAGTAATTGTGTTGATACTATCGGATCTTTTTTCATAAGCACTCTTAATTTGGAGACACTTTTAAGTCATGTATCTGTTCTGAGACTCCATAACTTCACAAAAATGTAGAAACTTGGGGCTGGGGATTTAGCTCAGCAGCATAAGCGCCTGCCTTGCAAGTGTGTGGTCATGAGTTCGATCCCCGGTACCGATAAAAAGGAAAAAACAAAACAAAACAAAAAAAGTTTATTAAAAATGTAGAAACTTGGGCAACTAGTAATGATATAAAACTAGTAATGATATCAGTTAAAGGTTTAGAATGTAGCTTGCTAATCCATTTCCCTTTGACTTACATGGAAAACAGATTTAAAGAGTAGCTTCACTTCTCACTCTTATAAATATGGTAATATTGTGTTGGATTTTTGATATCCAAGTCTTTCCCTCTATCCCTGGAAATAGAGTCACAGGTTACATTTAACCAGGCAGGACTCTTAGAAGCTAACAAGTAGTATAGAACCAACTAGATCATCACTGCAGGAGTGGAGGGCTGCAGACAGTCAGGTGGGTCTCCCTCCTGTCCCTTCGTCCCCCTAAGTGAAGGGTCATGTGTTGGCAGGGCTGGGTCAGGACTAAGCCCAGTCACCTCAGGGCCTCAAGGGGCTCACACAAGTACGTATGTCACCATGCTGACCATCAACTCTCAGTGCCCAGAGATTACAAAGACGTTGTCCTCACTGAAGGCTGGGTGAAATGAGCCCAGGCTGTCACCCAGAACACGCAGGAGTGTGGGGTGCGCCCCGCCTCGAGTGGAACCACAAGTGAGAATGGCTGTGCTGAGCAGGGTCACTCTCAGAAAGCCTGAAAAAAGCCTGAGCTCTTTACTGGGGAGAAACAGGTCTATAGATTTCATACTTTGAATCGTATGTATTAGCAAAAGAATTAAGTGCCCTTTGTTTCTTCTTTTTCTTGGGGATACTATTTCTAAGTTTTTAAATGCTTAAAACATGGCCTGAGGATTTAGCTCAGCAGCATAAGCGCCTGCCTTGCACGTGTGCAGTCGTGAGTTTGATCCCTGGTACCGATTAAAAAAAATGCTTAAAACATGAGGCACCCCGGAGCTTTCTGGCCTCTTGTTTATGACATGCTAACCTTTCTTTTTTTTTCGCTTCTCCCCAGATACCTACTGGAACAGGATTTCCCAGGCATGAGGATTGGTCCAGAGCCCACCACTGATTCCTTTATTGCTGTGATGTATGGAGAGACAGAGGGAAGCACCCCTGGGAATGCTTTAGTTGTGGATCCCAAAAAGCCATTCCGAAAGCTTAGTCGCTTTGGAAATGCTTTTCTGAATCGGTAAGGGTCAGCAAACTGCCAATCTTTGGTCAGGTTGTTTTAACCTTTTCTCGAAATTATTGCTACTTACAAGTAAAGATTCAAAACAGAAAAAGACAAAGGGTCTACAGAAGGCATAGAGGAAAGCTAATCCCAGTCTTCCCTCTATGAAGAAGACTGTCAAAGGCCACGATCATTTATAAGTATTCTGGATGTGTCTGTTGGGCAAAGGCCAGGACTGGACGTTACCTGGCTGCAGAGTATAAAGACCAAGATCGCTGGTTCTGACTGCCTACCTCTTCTTCAGTACCCATACCTTTTCCCTCTCCCCCTCTCTCTGTTCTTTCTCTCTCCCTCTTTCTCTTTTTTTGGTAGTGGAGATTAGTCCTAGTGCCAAGTGCTATAGTGCTGAGTGACATCCCTAATATTTAAAAAAAAAATTATTTTGCAACCAGTTCTGGCTATATATTTCAGACTGGCCTGGAACTTTCAATCTTCCTGCCTTGGCCTCCCGTAGCTGGATGACAGGTGTGTGCCTTCTAGCCTTTCTTTTTTTTTTTTCCTTTTGAGGCAGGGTCTTGCTATGTATTCCAGACTTGCCTTGAACTCACTGTGTAGCTCAGGCTGGCCTTGAACTCCTGGTGATCCTCCTGCCTCAGCTTCCCAAGTGCTGGGATTTCAGGCTTGCGCCACCATGCCTGGCTTTTTTTTTCCTTTCATTCTTCAGTTCTTTAGTTCTTTCTTTCCTTTCTTTCTTCTTTCCCCACCCTGCATCTAATGTTCTTGCTTTTATTTTTATTTTACTTTCTATTTATGCAAGAGAACTTATGAAGCTTGTTTATATCTGGCTTATTTTGCCTAACATGATGTCCTCCCATTCCACGTATTTTACTACATGTGAAAAGGCTTCATTCCTCTTTATGCTAATACTCCCCTGTGTGTACGCAGCATATTTTCTTTATCCATCTATCTATTGGTGGGCACCTAGACTGACTCTGTATCTATTGTCAGTAGTGCCACAGTAAGTATAGGCACACAGGTGTCTCTTTACTTGCTGATGTCATTTCCTGGGGTGTAACCCAGGAGGAGGACAGCTGATCATAGCACACTTCCATGTTGTGTCTCCTGAGGAGCCACCATCCTGATTTCCGCAGTGGCTGTACCATTTCGTCTCACCACCCCATGTATAAAGGCTTCATCTCCACATCTTTCCTAGCATTCATAATTTTTTTATAATGACCATTCTAACTGCAGTGAAGTGGAATCTCATTGTAGTTTTGATTTGTATTTTCCTGATGGCTAAGACTGAACACTGTTCATGTATTTATTATGTTTTATTTTAAAGGGAATAAAGCAGAACAGTAAAATGAAACAAAGCCAAACGGTGATAGGACAGCAGGAAATCCACGATCGTTACTATACCACATATTGTTAGCCTCTAGTAACTTCTCAGGTTACCAGCCCCAGGCTTGCACAGTCAGTGAAACAACACAAATGTCAGGTTCCTTCCCTACTTGCGTTATCATCTCATCCTGTGTCATGTCCGGTTCCTTGTGTGTGGGGGTGGCAAACGGACGGAGGCAGCTTGTTGCTGGTTCTCCCCAGCTGAAATGGCCTCCACTGGCCTGTTTCATATATTTATTGGTGTGTATTTATTTATTTATTGGTTTTTGAGACAGAGTGTCACTTGAACTCACTATGTAGCCTAGGCTGATCTCGAACTCACTGCAATCCTCCTGTCTCAGTCTCCTGAGTGCTAGGATTACAGGCATGTGCCACCAGGCCCAGCACCTTTTAGAAGTGTCTATTGAAATCATTTGCCCACTTTTAAATTTTACTTGTTTTTGTTGTTGTTAAATTTCAATTGCTTTATAAAATGTGGACATTAAGGACCCTGCAAAGATTTTCTTGCATTCTATAGGTTATCTGATTCCTTTGGTGTGCAAATTTTTAGTTTGATGTAACCCCATTTTGACAGCTTTGGATTTTGTTTCCTGTGCTTTGGGATCCTATTTAGAAATCATATCCACAGATTGGAAGAATTAATATTTTTGAATTTTCTACAAGTAGCATGGTAGCATAAGCCTATAATCTCAGCATTTTGGGAGGCTGATAGGAGGATCTCAGGTTCAAGTACACCTGGGCATTTTAGCAAGTTACAGAGAGAGACTGTCTCAAAATAAATAAAAGACTGGAAATGCAGCTCAGTATAAAGGCCCTACTTTCAATCTCCATTATTGGGTATAAAAAAATGTAGTCTGTTTTTTGTTTTGTTTTTTAGTGTCGGGGATCAAATTCACAACCTCGTGCTTACAAAGCAGGCGCTTATGCCACTGAACTAAATCCCAGCCCATGTTTTTGTTTTTGTTTTGTTTGTTTGTTTGTTTTTATGGTACTGGAGTTTAAATCTAGAACCTCACACATGTGCAAATATTGTACCACTGAGTTACACTCCCAGCCCTTTTTATTTTTCATTTTGAAACAATCTCCCTAAATTGCCCAGGCTGGCCATGAATTTGGCAATCCTGCCTCATCCTCCCAGGTGGCTGGGATTACAGGCGTGTAATGCATATGCCTTGCTCCATAATTGCTCTTTAAAATACTCTTCTCTTTTCTCCTGTCACCCCCTGCATACACACTCCTCCATTTCCCTCTTTCAGGTCTGGCTTTAGAGGTGGGGGAGCTGCTGGTGGGAGGTGCTGAGCTGGGGAGCACTGAGAGAGGGGAAGTTGGATTGGTGTTGATGGGCAGCAGAGAGCTTGAGCTGTACTTCTTCTTTCTAGATGTTTCTAAAAATAGGAAGACTCCCCTTTGACTGCCACCCTCCTTGTGGCTGAGAGGCCCATCCCTTACCCCACAAGGGCCACTGGCATGAACCTCACAAGGACCATGTATGTCCCCAGGGTGTGCCTCATGCCCAGGGCACCCCGGCGCCCTCCACTGGTCCATATGTGAAAATCTGTTCTGTTGGGGCAGTTCTGTCTTTCAAGGGCTTCCTTATTCTGTTGCAGCAAAGAGGGCACCCAAAGGACCTTGGCACCCAAGGGACGAGCAGAAGCGTGCATGTGACATTGGTGAAGCCACGCTTTGTCTCATTATCCTCGCACAGGGCTGTTCCCCCTGCAGGATTCTCCTCAGAGGAGCTCACTCCTTAGCTCCAGAGCAGCTGAACTCCGCAGTTTCTGAAAGGAGAAGCAGAAGTTGAGCCAGGGTGAGAGACCCCACAGGATCAACTGCCCAGGATGAGTGCACCCGTGCTGAGCGGAAGTGAAACAGAGGCTCCCGGTCCGGGCCCTCTGAGATCCCTGAACATGGCACAGCCAGCAGCTGTGCTTCCTCCCCCTGCCCAGCCCTGGAAGGTTCTGCGGGCTCCGTTCCCTGGAAGGTGCTCTCGAGTCCTGTGGGTTCATCACTACCACCTTTTGTCTTATGCTTCTTTTGCCTGCCCAAGGCATAAAAGAGAAATAAGCTGCCACGTTTTTCAAATGCTCATTTTGTGAAATCTACATTCACAAGGGAAAAAGCAGGAAGAGTGATTATTGGCTTATCTCATTTTGGCAAATGATTTGCTTTCCTAATAAAAACAATTCGTCTTTCAAATCTTGAACATACTTCATGGAAGTATGGAAGAGAAATACTTAGGAAAGATTTTGGTTTTGGAGGGTTTTCCTTTTTGGCTTTTTGGAGTGTGTGTGTGTGTGTGTGTGTGTGTGTATGTGTGTGTTTCGTTTTATTTTGAAGCAGGGTCTCACTAGTGCGGGCTGCCCTTGAGCTCACTTTTGTACCCCAGGCTGGCCTTGAACTCATAGTACCCCTCCTGCTTCAGCCTGCCAAGTGCTGGGATCACAGGCATGCACCACACACTCAGCAGCAGGGGAGATTTTTTTGTATTGGAAATTGAACTCAGGACCTCACACTTGCCAGGCAGGCACTGTGCCACTGAGCTATATCCCTTGCCCAACATGGAAGATTTGAATGGCAAGCTTTGTGATCTCAGAATTTAGAAGGTACTGAAAATAATCCAAGTATTATATAATCAAGTGCTGAGTTCAGAGTGATACACAAAAAAATAACAACATAATTATATGGCATTTACCATCCAAACTTTCCTTATACATTAAGCAAAAAACTCTGGAGTATATTGGCGTTATAGCCTCCTAAAAGCTGTGTGCTAAGTCTGTTAGCATTGTTTCCTAGGAGGAGAGGAAGAATTGAAGCATAAAGAGGTTACTTTAACTTCCAGGCTGTCACTTAGCCAATACATAGTAGTGCTGGGATTGGAACTCAGGCCCCGGGCCATTCCTGCCAGAAACCACACTGCTGAGCTGCCTGTGTGGTGTTTAGACTGAGTCCTTGCCCATTTAGCTTTAAGGCAGTTCCTGGGATGCCTCCCAGGTAGGGAGGAGTAGCAGTGAATACGCCTTGAGGTGCACACGGTTTCACCTATGCTGTGCTTGTGGGTAAACAGGTGATATGGTGGCCGGGCACAGATACAAAAACTAGAAGCAAAGAAGGGCCTTGCTCCAGAAGAGGCCCTGAGGAAGAGGCAGGAACAGGAAATTCAGGTTCCCAAACAGAAGGGCCTGTCCTAGCAGTCCAGGGGGCTGTGCCTGTGTAAGCTCACAAGTGAGAACTGTGGTTTGGGGCCACATCCTGGTCACCCTAGGACAGCCCTGCGACCCCTCATTGCACTGAAGGAAGAGTTCAGTGAATTAGTGGAGGCACCACAGCAGGGTCCAATGATAGCAGCCCTCTGGGGACGCCCCCAGGGTTAGCTCCAAAGGCGGGAACCTGTTTTCATACGGCACACTTTCCTGGGAAGTAGGTCAAAATATAAAAGTTAATAGGAAAGAAAATTGATTGTTTTCTTTGGAGGACTTTCTTTCCCAGTTGTGTCTTTTCTCCCTCATCACAGGGTGTCAGCTTAGGGGTCTGCCCCTGGGGCACCTTCAAAGAGTTAAACTGTGCAGAGTGACACTACCGCCAGATGAAGCAAACCAGTGGGCCCAAGTCTCAATATC